CTTTTCATGTGCTGTAATATATATACCTACCTACTGTATTTTTCACTCCATGCATCTGATGAAGTGGGTTTAGCCCATGAAAGCTTATGTCTAAATAAATTAGTTAGTCTCTAAGGTGCCACAAGGACTCCTCGTTGTTTTTGCTGATACAGACTAACACGGCCACCCCTCTGAAACCTGTTTGCTCTTTGTTTCATATATTTCTGAGTTTTGGGAAAGTGGCTTGTAACTCTTTGTTCAGTTACTCTGAAACATAAAAGAACCCTCTTAGAATTCTATGATCCTCTCTCTGAAACACAAGGGTTCAACCAATCATTAACAGGTGTTCTTAAATTACATACAAGTATTGTTGTGCTGTGAGGTACTGGTGACTACATCAACCTCTTTGAGATTGGGTGTGAGCACACCCTTCAATTAACATAACTATGAAGAGAATCACAAGCCCCACAGCTGAGAAAAAAGGGGTTATGAAAAATGTGAACCCACCAGGTAGTTTTGAATACAATGGCTGGAGTGGAGAAGTTTTGTTGAGTATCATTTGGGCAAGCATGCGCACGAGTGTGAGGGACAGCAGAATGAGAGAGACTTAGGGCCTGAGCAAGAAAGCCAAGCAAGCAGCCTGTAAGTATGGTGAGACCCTGGAGAACTCTAGAGAGAGATTGAGGTCGGAGGTGATGGCTGAACGAAGCATCGACCTATAAGCTAAGAAACTGTTCCTTTTGGTTTTGGTCCCTCCTGTGTTTGGAAGAGGACTTCGTACGTTCCTTGTAAGTAAACAAGATTGCATCAAAAAAAACACCAGACTCCATCAGCAATTTCTACTCCCAACCAGGACATGCCCAAGGACCCAAACTTTGACTAGTCGCAGGAGTCAACAAGGTAACAGTATATCTAATGTACCCATCACTGTTATGTTCCCTATGTGGCACTTCCAGCCCAGCTTCATGTCCAAAATTATTTTTACTGAATTAATAATATAAACAAATAAAAACAAGCCTACTGATACTAAGTTTTAACATTTTTTCCAAACAGCCTGCCCTGTATTTGGGGCCTAAACTACCTGACAGTGCCCCTGTAAACTCTCCCCTCAGATGTAATGGCAGTCACTCACCCCAGGAGCCCTAGTGTGGAACCACGGTTAAATTTCTGCCTCTGTTTCCCAAGTTCAATGCAGCCTTCAAGGAGGAGGGGTAGTTTATGGTATGGTATGTAAACAAGTCTTTTTCTATGGTATGGTATGTAAACAAGCTTTC